GAGATTATATATATTATGTTTCATACATAATTTTGACAAGGAGTAAAGTTCCATTCCTGCTCCTACTTGCCTGTCTTCTTACTTGAGCTTTGATGACAAATAGAGCTGCCTGCCACAGATTATCCCTATCATTGTGAACACTGAATTGCTCCCAGCTCACTACGTCTGTATTTCAGAACAGCTGAAGATGTAGAATAAAAGAAAGTGTGGCAACAGGGCATGCCTGTTAAGAACTCTTTTAAAATCTTGCCTTTTCTTAGCTCTAGTAATGTCTGCATTCATGGTATCATCCTGTGGACATTGAGTTGGTACCTGTGTCACTTTCTGTCCTGAGCTTTCAACATCAGCTCTGGCATGTCAAGGGCTTTCACATGCCTGTACTGTGACCAGGTCATTGTGACATCACTGAGTTCCTAGTGCTATGGTTTTGTGCCATCCCTGAGCCACACCACGACTAAGAGGGCATAGCAATGCCAAAAAGTTTGAGCTATGAAGATTTTCCAAAGAATATACGTGGGAAGGTAAAGTTCCTATCAGCACACTCTGTCTTTCCCATGTCCCTGTGTTCTCTTTATTGACATTACTATTATCTTTTGTTGTGAAGCACCTTCAAATTTTTTCTGAAAAGAGAGAAGTCTATAAAGAGGTAAGCGTGTATATATTAACGCTTAATCTATTGACCAACAACTAATCTAAAGATCAGAATATTTGTTCCAGGTTCATGAAACTTGATTTCCTTAGTTTGTTTGATTCGCCTGATTGTGGGAGACTAAATTTCCATAACGACCTATGTTAGCATATTCTGTAACATTTTCAAGTCCAATTTTGTTGCCCCAAACCTAGCACGATCTGAAAACCAATCAGTGTAGATTTTTTTTTCCTTAGAAATAGCAAACAGAGGTGGGGAAAGAATTTATATTCATCCTTCCCTCAGGAAATGACCCCTCCTTAACAGCAAATAATGTTCTACCCCTCTTTGTTTTTATTTGTTCATTTACAGCGATTCTGTGTCTGAAGTTTTATTTCTTCGCAGTCAGTTTACAGCTTTCTCTTAAGTTGAGTGTGACTCTCCATCCTCAGCAGCCATTAGCTTAGCCATCGCATCCTCGGCTTATTTTTGTTTCAGGATTCATGTCGTGTGACTTTTCCTCCCAGCAGCCCATTAACTGTTTCAAAGCAATGTGCCACTGAGGTGTTGTGGCCGTGTTTCTTGCTTTGCTGTTCTCCCCAGTGGATCTCAAGCTATCGATTCTGTTTGCAGTTGAGGGAAGATTTGTGATGTTTGCCTATAGTTTGATGCTGTTTGAGATAGTTCCCTCTTAGGCCTTTGGTGTATGTTTCCGACATACACTGGTATGTTGCTTTAAAGTTTTTCAAGCATTGTATCTTTGCACTTTATTTAGGTTGAGAAGCACCTCTTCAAAATTAAGTTTGTTCACTATGCCTGTGTTCACAGTAGACCCAATAATACACTTGCAATATTGAATTTCCTTAGTGTTTTTAAAGTGTCCTTATGATACATACTCATTGTATTTTTGTTTCAGATAAAACTTTACCATCTAAACAAAAATTTTTGTGGTACTCTTATTAATGACCATGTTGGGAAATATTCTGACTGGAAGAAAAGCAGGTGTATTAGTACAGTAAGGGTTTAGGAAATAATTTCAATAATAATAATAATAATAATAATAATAATAATAATAATAATAACAGTAGCTGCTCAGGTTGTTAAATTTTGAAGTTGTGTGCCATAGTTACTTAATGCTTTACTCTTTAAAATTTAATATCCTAGTAGGACACACATTTAATCCCAGCACTCAGAAGGCAGAGGCAGGCAGATCTCTGAGTTTGAGGTCATCCTGGTCTACAAAGGCAGTGACACGACAGCCAGGACTATTACACAGAGAAACCCTTTGTCGAACGCAAAAAAAAAAAAAAAATCTGTGTCAGTTGATGTTTCCATAGTTCAAGATAATTGTATTAATACTGATATCTTCAGTTTCTTTCTGGTTGTAGAAGAACTATTCACTATGGATAATAAGGAGAAGTTCAGATAAGAAATATTGCCCTCATTATACTCATAGCCACTGCTAGCATTTCATCATGGTTTTCACTTCTTTGCACATCTTTATAGCAGAGATTCAATTTTCTGTCCTCCTCTGCTTCCACTCCATCGCTTTTTATTTAAAATAAAAGACAGTCTCAACTTGCTATTTTAACGTGCACCCCTCCCCCCACACTATACACATAGTTGATATTTTGAGTATTTAAAAGTTATTTTCTAATATGTCAGTTTTTAGTGATTCCTAGTATCTGATCATGTGACTAGGTCAAAATCTTTGATTTGATTTTTTGCTAAAGTCTTTGTAATTACTTTTCTGTTGTTGGAGCTTATCTTATTTACTTAAACTCTGTCGTTCTTCCTTTGCTGTTCATTTACGTAAATAATTATTTTTCTAAGTTATACATGAACTTTTTATCTTCTCTTAATATTTGCTACAGTTGAATGCTTTACAGTAAAATTGTAATATTGGTGGACACATCTGTTGTAGCTTCCTTCTGTTGCTGTGATAAAACACTAACTTAGAGGTAGAAGGGATTCCCTTCATCTTACACTTCCAGGCCACAGCCTGTTATGGAGGAAGGTCAGTGCATGAACCTGAAGCCCGGCCTGCTTGCTGTCCCTTGCCGCCTTCGCTCTGACCCGAGAACTCACAGCCAGAGAGGTCCAACAGAACCCAGGGACAAAGGCAGCTTGCTGGCTCAGTCACAGGCTCAAGCTACCCTAGCGTTCCCGTAGCCCAGGACCACCTTCCTAGAGCTGCTTTAAGATGGTGTTGCCCGCAGTGGGCCTCTGCATCAGTTAACACCACCGTATGCTCACAGGCCAGTCTAATCTAGGCAGTTTCTCCAGCAAGGCTTTTCTATTAGATGTCAAGTTGACATTCAAATAGTTTTATGCATTTAACTATGTTTAGTTTTATTTACTTTTAAAGTTTTTATAGTGAAATGTATCATTTTTAATACCCAGTTCTGAGTTTAGATAAAGGTATATAATATATACCATCCCCAAATATAGCAAGACATTGATATCCCCCCAAAACATTCCTCGATTTTGGCTCTTGGCTACAAAACATGTCTGCTATTAATTATAAAAAATAAAAATCACAAAAAAATTACAAACCATTTCTAAAACTCTGACCATGTTGCAGTTTGTCTGGATATTTTTTAAATTATCCATTTTTTTCTATTTCAGAAGTGTTTAAAATGTACCTGTTATTAGTCTTTGCCCCTCACTGTTTAGTGCATGTATTTTTTTTTAAGTCTATATTACTTAGGTATTGGATTGTCTTGGGGTTTGTTTCTTTACAGCCTACCAGCACCACAATGATTCCTGAAATAGAGAACTTTCACATTTTTGTGGTGTGCATAAATTTAAGCATTATTGTGTTATCAAATTAATGTTTGAAATGCTTAGGCCATTTATTTATCTGACAAGCAATATAGATGGAAATCCACTTTCCTGTGTTCTTGCCAGTATTGATGATTATAATCATATATTTGTCAATTTGATAGACAAATATTTTGCTATTTGTTATCTGAATCCTTTGATCCTCACTTGTATTTTTTTCATATGCTCATTGTCTATAAATGGATGTAAATACAGTCTCTATGTCACTTTTAGCTTTTGTTAAGAAGGATAGGGTTTAGTATTTAGATCGAGTTTCTTCTGTATTGGTGATGTTAACTTTGACAGTTACATCTTTGTGTTTTTGTTCTCCTTGTCACTGGCCTGTTTTGATTTTTTTTATTATTTGTTTTGTCATATGAATGTTCTTGTGAACCCAGTCATTTTCAATTTATTTGTATTTTGAGCATGCAAACTGAATTTAGTGTTTTCTCTTTAGGTCAGTTATTCTTGACCTGGGTCATGACCCCTTTGGTGGACAGGTTTCAAACAACCCTTTCATCGGGGTCACCCAAGCCCTTGAAAAACAGTGTACCATGAAAAATAAAAGACCCAGAGACAACTATGGGGTCTGAAGGTTAGAGAAGCAAAGCAGCTATGCCACTAGCTCTTCCCTTCCACCAGGCTGAAAGGGTTGATCGTGTCTCCCAGCCTCAGACTCTGTCTATCCTCTGCATGGCTGGAGAGTAATCCCGAATATCCGACTGAAGGCCTATCTTTTATACCTCTCTAGTGCTGGGATTAAAGACAGTGGCCCCAGGTGCGGAGATCACCGATGTGTCAGCTGTTTCTTTTAGGACTTAATCAATCTCATAATTCCCTGGGTGGCCTTGAACTAACAGAAGTCTGTCTACCTCTTAATCCTGAGTCCTGGGATTAAAAGTGCGTGCCACCACCCCCCAGCTTTTGTAGGTAACTAGTATGACTGGTTTGCTATTTTGATCTCCTGTGACTTTAATAAATCATAAATAATGCATCACCACAAACACAGATATTTAAATTATGGTTCATAACAGTAGCAGAATTATAGTTATGAAGTAGCAATGAAAATAATTTTATGATTGAGGATCACTGCAACATGAGGAACTGTAAAAAGTGGTCACAACATTATCAAGGTTGAGAATTCAGATTTAGATGATAAAGTTATATATGGTTTGTCTCACTTAGCTGTATTTGTTAAAAAGTTTTCACACGTTTTTCCTTTTAATCCTAAAAGACTAGTAAAGTTTTTACTGTATCTACCAAGAAAACATAGATGATTTACTTGCCTATAAATGTCTTTTTATTTAATCTTAGTACTGTATGTTTCTTAGGATTCATATAATTTCAGGTACTATGAACATATCAGTTGAAGCCTTGTACTTAACCTTTAAGAGTACAATGACAAATGTATTCTAAATTAAGATATCTTTTATTTCCTCATTATTATGGTGTTTATTTTGGTTGTACTTTCAATATTTTTCCAGATTTAAAGGAAAATGGTATATGTATATATATTGCTAAACATTTGTTTATTTTTAACATGCTGCAGGATATTGAAGACAAAGTAAGTAACAACAACAAAACCTACAAATGTGCAAATGGATTAATGTAAACTAAACAAAACTTGATTGCACAGTTACTATTATAGAGTGAGCCAAGCAACACATGATCACTTTGCAAAGGAATATAAAATATATACAAAGATGGAAATGCCAAGATGCAATGATTTTTCCTAAGTAGCAGTCAAACATCTATTTATCCTTCACTGAACACAAAAATGTTACTATCTAAGTTGTTGGTATGATGTAATATTATAAAGAGAGGTCTTTTCTTTTTCAGGAACAAAGATCATTTTAACATAATGAGGGATAGCAAACAACAATTTAAAAATATGTGTATGCATCCTAACTAACCTTGACATCCACGAATAGATCTTCTCATTAGTTTACTATGGAATTGCATATTGCATTTTTGAAGGTTCATAAAAATATGATCTTGTAAAATTAATATTGTAAATGTCTTAATTATATTATCTTAAAATTTTCAGATAAATAATACACCATGCTTATAGTTTCTCCGTCCTTTAAGCTACTTCTTCATGTGTAGGGATGGGATGAACACATATATCTGCATACAGGTTGGGAAATGGCATGAATACACACATCTACATGCAGGTTGCACTGATCAGCTAAGAGTTCTGAAATGTATGGTTCACGTGCATTTGCTATTTGTGCAGGCGTTTTGGTTATTTGTTCAGGATTAGCAAGCATGTATCCAATTTCAAGAATCTGATCAAAGTTTCAGACTATTAACCCTTAAAATTACTCTCTGAAAGAGAAGTTAAATAAGACAGTCTGCTGTACACAGTCTTCTCACATTTCCAAATACAATTGGACAAAGTAGGACACAGCTGTTACAGTAAGAAAAAATACAATGCAGTTTCATTCTTTACACATAAATGTAGCAATCATCCTCATATTAATATTTTCTGTAGCAAAGACCTAATGGAGTGCAATGAGCATCAGCTCTGTATATTATAATGGAGTTTCTGCTTGAGTTTTGTTTCGTGGTTGCTGCTTTTGCTTTTTCTCAATATAGTATACTCCTCATGTCTTTTTTAGGCTCGGCAGCTGGAAGAGAAAGACCGAGTGATACAGAAGCAGGATGCGTTCTACAAAGAGCAGCTGGCCAGGCTGGAGGAGAGGGTATGGCTATTTCTTGTCAATGCTTTTCTTCTCCTGCTACATCTGTAGCTCCCCATATATTTGTTTAAATGCTAACCAATTGGCATTAAAGTTGCGTGTCCTAGTTAAGAAGTGAGGAGGCCACGCAGCTAGGTCACTGTCATTTTGTGTATGTTTGTATATTGTATTATTGTTTGTTGTTTTCTACACCCAAGAACCCCCTTACATAATTTACCTTATATAATGTGTTGTAATCTGAATCGCTCCAGGTTAAGCAACAGCATTTCTTTTAAGTTCCCTAAACATGGTTTATGTTGCATTTGTGTGTGCTCCTGGATATGGTATTGTTATTTGTCTTATTTGGAATTTTAGGTGTTTTTTGTTCATTTAATTTCTTTTTTGAGACATTGTCTTCCTTGGATTCACTAGACATCTAAGGTTGACTTTGAATTTCTAATCCTCCTGCCTACACCTTTGAGTGCTAGGATTATTCATGTGTGCCAACATAACTGGCTTGAGGTGGTCCTGTTCTGAAGGGTATGCTGTCAGTGAAAACCCCATTTTTCTGCAGTTATAGCCTAAAATTCAGTGTCTTCTTCAGGAGTGGTAACAGGAACTAAAAGTGTGTAGGGCTTAGAGGAGAGATTTCAGAAGTGCAGAGGCATATGCCTACTCAGCCTGTGTGTAGAAATGGACCAAGACACCCGAGGGATCACGGCTGGAGGAATGCAAGACAATGGGCTTAAAAATGATGCTTTTGTCAGAGTCCCTGTTCAGTGGTCTCCATTTGTTGTTTCGATTACCTTTATGTAGAATCCATTGAATTGCAAAGTGACCTTTCTTCTGTGCTTAGGATCCAAAATTTGATTTATTTAGAATATGACATTTGATCAGATGTAGGGGAAAAAAGAAATGCATTGAATTCTGCTCATTATTTGTATTTCAAACATGTCTCCTTGTTCCCTTCTCTGTTGTTGGTCAGCACATCTTGAATATAAGGATCATTTACACACCTGATGTGTGTCAGGCACTGATGTTTGTGCCCTAGGTAGAGCTTAAAGTCAGTTATGCATAGCATAAAGCAGCAAAGATGATGTGGAAATCATCTAAGTTAATATTAGCTGGGAATAGGGAGTCTCTCAGCCAAGTGTAAGCCTGCATTTGTGTGAAGAAGGAAGATCTGTGTGAAGAGATACGAGAGAACAGGTCTTTACTCACAGGGAAGCAAGTCAGGCTCATTCCTGAGGAAGGATTGCACTGGGCACATGTGGCAAGACAGAAGAAGCCTGGTGGCATTGGCAAGTAGGTGGCTATCTTGGGCAAAAGTTGAAGCAAGGGAGACTTGGCAAAAGATTAAGTTAGAATTGCGATGGCAAGCCAGGTATGGTGGCACACCCCAGTTAGCCCAGTGCTTGGGAAATGAATCCAGGAGGATCAGGACTTCGAAGTCATCCTCTACTACACACCAGATTTGAGATGGCAATGGGCTATATGAGAACCCTATCCAATTGGCGTCATGGGGGAGGGGAAGGGGTTAATTGGCTGGCCATGGCTGTTACTAGAATGATCGCAGTGATGATGAAAAATTTCTACTTGTGCACATCCAAGGTTGAGACCAGATTTGATCATGGTTTGAAAGTGAATAAAATTAAGGCTTAGACATACTCTAGGTCTAGACTTGTAACTACAAAGATAGAGGGGAAGATTATGCAGATATCAGATTATGTGGATGTCAATTGGGATATGGGTGGTAGCATATGTGAGGGGTTTGGTTTAGGATTATTTGTGGAGCTTCTTAAAACATTCAAGTAGAGTAGACATAATATGTTGAGTAGACACAATATGGAATGATTGGAGAAGTAATCATCAATGGTAAAATCCCCCCAGTAAATATGTTAGCTCACATGTGGGCTCCATTGCACCTGCTTACCTCTCCCTTTGTAATGTATAAGAGAAAGGGATAGCATGGAAATAATTTATACAAAAAAGTAGTCTTTTTTTTAAAAGACCATCCTTAGGACTGTCTCAACCAGCAAGTGAGCCTGACGTGATGTGCGGTCGCAGTCTTCAGAAGGGCTACGTAGAGAACCAGTTAACATCGCTCATCTTTCTTTCACAGACTGTAATGGAAGACTTGCTGTCCGTTTCTCTGGTTGTTAGGAGGGAATGTCGCTTGTATCACTGGCTTGTCAAAATGACCTATTTAAAGGAGGGTAGCATGCACAACACCCTGGTTCAATCACAGTAACACCCCTGACAGAATAAAAGATGACAACTCTTTAGAAACTGGCCAGAATTTATCAAATTGAGCTGTTTTCATCATAGGACATATGTTTTTCATTGGGCACAAGATTCCAATAGTCATGAAATCACTTTACTGTCCGTCAACCTCGGCTTCTACCCAGTTCTGTAACACCCTGTTTTTCTTTATTCTTGATATTCCTAGAGGACCTGTTTTTGTGCAGGTGGATTCCATCTATTATTTCATGGAGGATATTCAGTATGTAACTAGGCATTCTGTAAAATGTGTAAGGGCATTTTCTTTCATATTGTTAATGGTGGTGAAGGTACAATGTGTAAGGGTTTTAGTATTTCTGAACATACTTGGTATTAAAAAGTATTAAAAGTGCTGAATTAAATGTTGCTTAATATAAGAAAATATGATAACACGAGTATGGGAATCATCTGTTTATATTACAACTTAGGTTGTTGCAGTTTGAGAATGGATTTGAACATGTCTTTCTTTCAACCATATCAAATGATAAAACCTTCAAGTCAGTGCTCAGTTACTATGGAGAGCATGACATTGGCAAGTCTTATGAGGGGCTGGGAATGCAAACATTGTTAGTGTGTACCCTGTGTTCTGTATGACCCTTGGTTCTTGAGGATCACCAAAACCTTGGCAGGTCTTAGGATATCCTCCCAAGGGTGTTCCCTATGGTAGACTAGGCACAGTAAGTGTCTTTGCTCCCCTTTTGCATGGTCACTTATTCCTTCAGCTATCCATTCTGATGCAAATTTCTTTTGCAGTTGTGAACAAGTCCTTTTGAGTATGTGCAACACATTCAGTTCTGCAATAAAGCCTGGTTTGTTTTTTGATTTTGTTTCAGTAAACTATCGGTTAGGTGAATGCCACATGTCAAGTCTTCTCCTCACATGTGTTGGTAATAGTGTGTCCACAGGGAGTTTGAGATAGCCTTCTCTTTTCACTAATGTGTGAGGTTTAATTAGTGTAATTTTCCCAGACTGCAATTTTATTCTTCCTGGAACCAGTATTCCAAAATCGTAGGTATTGAAGCTTTCCCACGTCCTCATTTCCCATCAGTCAGAGGTCACAGACTTTCCAGCTAGTGTTAGGATAAATCAGTCAGTAAACTCTTACCTCTTAGAGTGATAGAAGCCCCATGTTTAAATCTGTGGCCTGAAGGGAGCTTGAGGAGTAGGACTTTTACTGGAGAGCCCTGAAGAGTATTAACCCCTGGTTGACAGTTTGCCCAGAGGAAGCCTCGAGCAGCCCTGGAGAAGATGCTGACATGTTTCAAGGGACTGGCCCGACTCCCTCCAGCAGTTCTTTTCTTTTTCACAGTTTTATTGAGGTATGATTGATTGGCAGCTCTACAATGCTTTGCACCTCTCTGTGATAATTATACGTTTTATAATATTGTGATGAGAATATGTGTTGTAGTAAACACGTTTTATAGTTTGCCTCATTTTGTCCTGGCTAATAACTGCTTGAGGCTGCCTACTCTGTGAGTATCCTGAAACTCAAAGCAACTTGCCCCAAGAATATAAAGCCAGAAACTTGTCAATAGATCTGCTTCTGAGTCAGCTTCCTCAGCAGCCCTGGGAGCCAGTCCACAGCGGTCTTTAAAATGCGTGGGTTTCTGCTTCAGTGGTTAAGTCTGGCTGGTTACAGTGCTCACTCTGTCAGCGATAAATTAGCACCTCTGCTTCTACTGCCTCTTAGGACGGCATCTTCTCATATTGCTGCCTCAAAACCCGAATGTATTGAACACTAAAACGTATGTCATTTCCTCCTCAGAATTTGTCACTTCCTAGAAACTTTGCACCCAGAAACTGCATTTTTGATGAAATCCCCAGTGTTGCAGTACGCTCTGCTTTTGGTGCTTTCTCTTCCTTCTAGTGAGGGAGCTGGAGTCGTTTGAGCAGTTTGATTCCTCGAGGGGTCCGTGCATTCCTCTTTACTCTTGTGGGGTAGTCAGCTGCTTCTGCTTCTGGAGAGAAAATAGACTGTTTCTTACTAAATTGTTTAGCTGGATAATTTGTTTGAAGTGGATTGTTGGCACATTCTTAAGGAAAATGTATTTTTTTGCCAGCAACTCATTGGTTCTAAGTGAGAAAAGTTAGGTTGTCATCAGTTGGAAAACATGAAGGTCAAAGCCACACTATCCAGAGTCCTTCCCAGGACATCTTGAAAACGTGATCACTTTGAGAGTTCCATGGGCATGCACGTATAACCTTAAGTTTTAAAATGAAGTTGAATTAATTCTTCGTACTGAACCAACAACTTTGTTCTTGACTTTCATAAGGTTGATGGGTTTGGCACAGCTTGCAGGGGAGGAGTAAAAGCCCTGGTGGCCTTAGGAACTAAGGAAGTGTAAGCTCAGTGCTCAGAGCAACCTGATCGTGTGGCACATTATTATTTGAATTTTATAGACTACCGAATTTCAGTAGCATAGTATGCATACACCTTGCAATAAACCACCTAGAATTCACACAGAAGGGGAATTGCAGCAGCAGGGCAGAAGAGGACGTTGAAAAGGAATAGTGAAAACATAAATTACTATTAAGAAGAAAATGAAGTATATTACCGGCTTGTCACTGGGGTAGAGTTACTGATTAAATTCTAAGATCATGCTTCCATTGAAAGCCCCCCCCCCCCCACTTCCTGCGGGTGGCATATCTTCATCAGCAGAAAGTGTTGAGTTCATCTGTATGGTTATTTGGTGATGGGATTGCATCGCTTTTTGTCTGTTGGTATTTTTACCTGTGTTCGTTTG